AACAAAGCTTGGTTGTTTCACACCTCAGCAACACTGGGGATGTTCACCAACTCTGCAACAAAAGGTGTGTTAACAAAATCTGAACAAATGGTTGTCTACAACCTGCATCAAATCTGGTTGTTCACAAACCTCGGCACAAACTGGTAGTTCAACCCCTGTAACAAACCTGGTTGTTCTCAACCTTTCAACAAATCTGGTTGTTCACCAACCTGCAACAAACTGGTTGTTCAAACCCTGCCAACAAAACTGGTTGTTCACAATCTGCAACAAACTGTTGTTCACACAGCAACAAACCAGGTTGTTCACAACCTCTGCAACAAAATGGTTGTTCTCAACCTCTGCAACAACCTGGTTGATACAACCTGAACAAACCTGGTTGTTCACAACTCTGCAAAAACTGTTGTTCAACCACCCCTGAACAAACCTTGGTTGTTACAACTCTTCACAAACCTTGTTGTTCACCACCCTGCAAAACAAACCATGGTTGTAATCCCCTGGCAACAAACTGTGTTCACAACTCTGGCAACAAATGGTTGTTCACAACCCCTGCACAAACTTGGTTGTCACAACCTCTTCAACAAACCTGGTTGTTCACAACCCCTGCAACAAACCTGGTTGTTCACAACCCCTGCAACAAACCTGGTTGTTCACAACCTCTGCAACAAAACCTTGGTTGTTCACAACCTGCAACAACCTGGTTGTTCAAAAACCCTGCAACTAACCTGTTGTTCACAACCTCTGCAACCAAACTGGTTGTTACAATCCCTTCAAACAAACCTTGGATATGTTGTTCACAACTCTTAACAAACCTGGCTTCGTTCACCAACCCGCAAACCAAACATGGTTGTTCACAACCTGCAACAACTGGTTGTTCACACCCTCGAAGAAAATTGGATGTTCACAACCCTGCAACAAACTGGTGTTAAAACTCTATGCACAAACTGGTTTTGTCACACTCTAACACAAACCTGGTTGTTACAACAACTCGCAAACAAACCTGGTTGTTAACTTGCAACAAACCTGGTTGTTACCAACCTCGCTGCAACAAACCAGCGTTGTTCAAACCCTGCAAAAACTGGTTGCTCAAACCTCTTGCAACACTCTGGGTTGTTCAAACCCTGCAACAAACCTGGTTTTCACAACCTCTGCAACAAATTAAACTGTTGTTCACAACTCTCTGCAACAAACCTGGTAGTTCACAAACCAGCCCCCATGGTTGTTCACATCTCCTGCATCAAACTGGTGATCTCACACCTCTGCAACAATCTGGTGTTCACAACCTCTGCAACAAACCTGGTTGTTCACAACCTCTGCAACAAACCTGGTTGTTCACAACCTCTGCAACAAACCTGGTTGTTCACAACTCCTGCAACAAACCTGGTTGTTCACAACCTCTGCAACAAACCTGGTTGTTCACAACCCCTGCAACAAATCTGGTTGCAAATCTCTGCACTTTCACCATTTGTTGACTCTTCTTAACAAGGTGTGGGATGTACACTGGTGCTGAGTACTCTACGATGGTACTGATGTACACCAACGTACGATGACGTACACTGAGAGATTGTGTATGAGAGGTTGTTTATGATGGGTTGTGTATGCTGGGTTGTGTATGATGGGTTGTGTATGATGGGTTGTGTATGCTGGGTTGTGTATGATGGGTTGTGTATGCTGGGTTGTGTATGATGGGTTGTGTATAATGGGTTGTGTATGAAGGGTTGTGTATGATGGGTTGTGTATGAGAGGTTGTGTATAATGGGTTGTGTATGATGGGTTGTGGTATGATGGGGTGTGCATGATGGGTTGTGTTGGAGGGTTGTGTATGATGGGTGTGTATGATGGGTTGTGTTATGAGAGGTTATGTATGATGGGTTGTTGTATGAGAGGTTGTGTATGTTGAGTTGTGTATGAGAGGTTGTGTATGAGAGGTTGTGTATGCTGGGTTGTGTATGAGAGGTTGTATATGATGGGTTGTGTATGATGGGTTGTGTGTGAGAGGTTGTGTATGATGGGTTGTGCATGATGGGTTGTGTGTATGAGAGGTTGTGTATGACGGGTTGTGTATGATGGGTTGTGAATGAGAGTTGTGTATGAGAGGTTGTGTATGATGGGATTGTGTGTGAGAGGTTGTGCATGATGAGTTGTGCATGATGGGTTGTGTATGAGAGGTTGTGTATGATGGGTTGTGTATGATGGGTTGTGTATGAGGGTTGTGTATGAGAGGTTTTTGTATGATGGGTTTTTGCATGATGGGGTTTTGTATGAGAGGTTGTGCATGATGGGTTGTGTATGATGGGTTTTGTTATGAGAGTTGTGTTATGATGGGTTGTGTATGAGAGGTTGGTGCATGGGTGGGTTGGGGTAATGAGAGGGTTGTGCATGATGGGTTGTGTATGATGGGTTTTGTGTATGAGAGGTTGTGCATGATGGGTTGTGTATGAGAGGTTGTGCATGATGGGTTGTGTATGATGGGTTTTGTGTATGAGAGGTTGTGTATGAGAGGTTGTGTATGATGTTTTGTGTATGATGGGTTGTGCATGATGGGTTGTGTATGAGAGGTTGTGTATGATGGGTTGTGCACGATGGGTTGTGTATGAGAGGTTGTGCATGATGAGTTGTGCACGATGGGTTGTGTATGAGAGGTTGTGTATGATGGGTTGTGCACGATGGGTTGAGTATGAGAGGTTGTGTATGATGGGTTGTGAATGAGAGGTTGTGCATGATGAGTTGTGTATGATGGGTTGAGTATGAGAGGTTGTGTATGATGGGTTGTGAATGGGGAGTTGTGCATGATGAGTTGTTTTATGATGGGTTGAGTATGAGAGGTTGTGTATGATGGGTTGTGTATGATGGGTTGTGAATGAGAGGTTGTGCATGATGAGTTGTGTATGATGGGTTGTGTATGATGGGTTGTTTTATGATGGGTTGTGAATGGAGGTTTGTGTATGATGGGTTGTGTATGATGGGTTGTGTTATGATGGGTTGTGTATGGGTGGGTTGTGTTATGAAAGGGTTGTGTATGATGGGTTGGTATGATGGGTTGTGTTGATGGGTTGTGTAGGGAAAGGGTTTTGTATGAGAGGTTGTGTATGATGGGTTGGTATGAGAGGGGTTTTGTTGAGAGGTTGTGATGATGGGTTGTGTATGATGGGGTTTTGAATAGAGGGTTTTGGATGGAGGTTGTTATGATGGG